GGGAAAAGGAGTTCCATTTATTTGTTGGAAGTCTGTTCAACTACTATGTCAGAAAATTGGTTTGGGTCTCCAGAATTTAAACAACTACCAGTTACCTGCTTCATATAAACAGAAATGCAAAACTATGTCAGAAAATTGGTTTGGGTCTCCAGAATTTAAACAACTACCAGTTACCTGCTTCATATAAACAGAAATGCAAATCTATGCAGATAGTCACTATAAATATTTCACAGGATTCCAGCATTAATGACTAAAGATGAAAGCCAAGGAGGTAATCTGCTCAGATGTTGCATTGAAATTGTCTCTAAATTCATCCCTTAAATCCAAACCAGAATCTCCCACACTGGTCTCTTATTACAAAGGCTCACTCGTCATGAGAGTTCTGCCCCTCAACAACTGCCATCTAAACCTGTCTTGCATAAAATCTGTGCATCCTAGGATCCAGCCCTGCATGACCCCATTAAGTTGTAAATGGATTTTATTTGCTGAACAAATGTTAACGCCATTCTATGTTAATGGATAATGCTACGAAAAAGCACCTGAGTACTACAGGACTGGAGTCCTTAGGGGTGAAATATTGTATAAGTTGGAAAGCTGTCTGTTATAAACATATGTCAGCCATGAGGGTTTCCAGCCCTTATCACACATCTTCATAAAACTCAGTTATAATTTCTCCCTCAGTTAAGTGAATTTTGTAATAATACACAAATTTATTAAGTTCCAGGATTAAAATTTCCTGAGTAAGAATAAAAAATAATTACACTTTAGAACATAATGTAATATTTAAATGACTTAAAAACAGTCACCTCAGCAAAAACAAGAGAAGGGAGAAAAAAAGAAGTTTAAAAATAAGGTTGGTAACATTGGCCATAAAACCTTTGTGAGTTCAAGTGCATAAACACAGTAGCTAGCACTTCTGAACTTCATAAACATGTTAAGAATGGAAAACCTCCCATTCACAGCAAAATGCCTGAGTGGTTTCATCAATAAACCAGGGAGTGCAGGAGGTTGGGGGTAAGGGGGAATATTGCTTCTTAATTTAATAAAACACCATAGTTGTTAAGAAACAGAGAGAATGCTGGTGCCAGATGGTGCTTGTTAAAATCCCAGCTCTATCATTTACTAACTCTGTGACCTTGGGTAAGCTGTGTTTAACTTCTTGCCTCAGTTTTTTCATCTGTGAAATGGGGATGTTAACAGTACCTCCGTCTGGGCTGCTGTGATAGTTCAGTGAGTTAACACCTACAAGGAACTTACGTCTTACACTCCATAAATGTTAGCTCTTCATCATTTGGTAGTTGGTACTATATGTAGGATTTACTGAAAATGAAAAAGGATCTGAATGGAAACCATGGCCTTCCTCACCAGAAGTCTCTGAATCCACTGACACCATTTTCTCAAGTCTGGATTCTGTCCAATCTCTCCACAGAACCAGCATCCAAGTAAGCCACCAATGACCTTTACGTCATATGTCCTATCCATTGGGTGGTTTTCCATCCTTGTCTCTCTTGTCCGCTCGGAAATTCTGAGCACTGTTGAGCTTGAAACTCTCTTTCCATGGATTCTATGACTTTTCACTGTCACAATTTTCCCTCAGTGTCTCTGGCCACTCCCTCTCACCTTCATTTGCCACTAAATCTTCCTTTCCCTGACCTTTGAATGTTGGAATTTAGATGCTGATTGCTTCTTGGTCTCTAGTCTCTCTCCAGGCAAATTCACTCATTTCTATGGTTTTATTACCAACATGCTAATTAATCCAAAATGTTGGTCTATAGCTCAGACCTCTGTTCTGAGCTCTAAACTCATGTGTGTTATTTACATTCTCCATGATATTGGAATGTCTCAAAAGGTACTTCAAACTCAACGTGTCTAAAAATAATTTGTGATTTCTTCTCTACCCTCAAAACCAGCAGCTCCGTCAGTGTTCCCATGTCTGTGAGTATCCCACAAAGCATCTCCCATCTGGACATTGGCAATAGCCTCCCATTCCTTTTCTTCTTCTTTCCTCCCTTCAATCCATTCTCTGTAGCAGCCACAGTAGTGCATTTAAATTGCCAATCTGATGACACCCTCTCTGCTCACATCCTTCACTGGCTCCCTGTGCTTCTGGGATTCTGAACATGGCCGAGAAGGTATCACATATTCAGCTTCTCCCACCTAGCTTTATCCACCTGCTCTCTAGCCACTCTGGCCCTTTTTAGCCTTTCTGGGTCTCTAACAAGCCAAGCTCTTGCATTTCTTCTGCTTGGAACCCTCACCATTCTTCTCTTTAGGCTGATTTCCTATTCATTCTCCAATGATCAGTTCAAATGTTGTTTCCTCAGGGAAGCTGTTCCTGACCCAAAACTGGGTTGTGAACCCTATAGTAAATGAGCTCTCATAAACCCTAAGTATTCATCACAATGAACATTTTACATTTATTTATAAAATTTTAAAAAACTCAGTAGCTATATCTTTTGTCGGTTTGAAGAGGGCAAGGAGTCATGTCTGTTTGGCCCACCATTGTTCTCCCAGTATCTCCCATGTGGAAAGGGCATGTTAATGCATGTTAAGTGAGTACCTCAATTTTCAACATTTTAAGGCATTTTTTATGGCCCTGCTCTTACTCCATGACTAAAGGGAACCATCATTTACACGTGATGGCTGCAAGTAACAGGTACCTCTGGTGACCTTGGATCACAAGGGGAGAGAAACTGATAAGGAAAACTGGGCTCCACAGAGAGCAGCCATGGAAACCCAGCACTAAAAAGGCTAGTACATCATGTCCATGACAGATAGCAAATAGAATGTTTGTGAGCTGTCAGAATGATACTTATCTTTCTTCTTTAGAGGGTTCTTTCAATCACTCACTCATTAATTTATGCAGCAAAATTGTGAATTATAAATTTCACACACTGGGGCCATAATGTAGGAGGAACACTGATGTGTAACAGACACACAACAAATACAATAGGCTGTGACTGAGAAGGAGCCCTGTGCTTGCATTTGGAGGAGAGGATGTGCTTAGGATAAGAGGGGAAGTTGATCCTGGAGAATGACTGGTATAAGCAAGGAAGGGGACTGCCTGAAAAACAGTCCAAGGAAAACAGGAACACTGACACAGTCTTCTAGGAGCTACTTTAATACCTTAGGCTGACGGTAAGGAGAGAGGCTCACCTACACAGTTCTAGCACTGCCGACACCTCTGTTTCCTCCAACTCTCTAGTGCCTCCCATCCTGGACCACATCTCATGGGCTACAGGAAGAGTAGAACTTACAGACAGCTCTGGTGTCTGCTATTGAAGTCATCATCTCCACATCTCCACTACCCTTAACCTTGCATATGCATATAAATCAATTATCTGGTCAGTCCAGGCTTTCCCTTCTGTTCCATGCCTGAATCGAGGTGGACTGTGGCAATGGCAGGCCAGTGCTGTGATGTACCAGGGGGTCAGTATCATGGGAATGTAGGAAGTGGGTAAAGGAGTATGAGGCTTGCATTAGCTCTCTTAAGGAAAAGAAATAATGCTTTAAATTCTTGGCTGTAGCATTCAATTTTATCTTAGGTGGATTTTACATTACTTAAACTATATCCTTTTGGTCTGTGAATTACTCAAGCTCCTACTCAAACTTTAAGCTCTGTTTGGAGTATGGAGAAGAAAGGCCAAGTGACAGATTTCTTCTATATCCTCAGAGGAGATAAGAAAAGGTAGAGTTTTTAAAAATAACAACACCACAGAAAGGATTGACGTGTTCTGGTATTATTATTTTGCAGATGTAAACACCATAACCCATCAAAGGAAGACTGCGTAAACACTGAACATTTGGACTCAAACAGGAAAGCATGTTGAAACAGAAAAACAGAAAGAGTATATCAGTATCTTACACTATCTGTTCTGTGATCTGAAACAAAACTCCAGGAGAGAGAATACATAGATATAAAATACAATGTGTATTTTATTTAACATACACTTAAATGCTAGAAAATAATCTACCACTCTGACAATTGTTTTCTGTATAAATCTCTGCCAGAAAAACAAAAATTAGTATTAATTCAACAAATCAAACTTTAATTCTTTTGGTTAACAAGACTTTAGGAAGAAAAATAAAATACTCTGCCCCTGAAAAAAATTAGATGGTTTGTGTAAAATTTTAATCAAGTAATCATATTACTGTAATACACTAGAAATTCAAGAAAACGTGTGTAAGATGCCCAAAACTTAGAAACATATTCAAATAAAATTTTTTTTCTTTATAGTCAATTGCCATACCATCTGGTTTAGTTTGCCTTTGTGTTTTGCTGAATGTGGTATCAGCTTTCTGAGAACTGTATATTACTAGGTTGTGCTCCTAAAAAATTTGAGTGGGGAAAAAATATGGGATGAAGATTATACATCCTGATTATAAGTTTGGATACTTAGGAAAATGCTAACATGGTGCAACAGCCCAAACTAAGTGAAGCTGGGTGTGAAATGGCTGGTGGAGGGAGTCCACTCACAATGACACTGATGACAAGGACAGGTTTACAAGAGTAGCACACAAAGTAATAACATGCAAAACAATATAGAAATAAATCTTCAGACTCCGAGACACCTCTTTGTCAGAGTGCTCCTGATTCTAATTAAGTTTAGAAAAAAAATTAACAAGGCAACCCTGATTGACTGGAAAGTATAAACAATTAAAGGATGCTTCTAAACAGTAGAGTGATTAATGGAGGCATCCAAATATGAGCACAATCATGTCCTTCCTCTCAATGCTGTTCTTCTGATTTCCAGCTGATCACTGTAACACAGTGTCACCTCGGCCCATGCAGAGGCACCAGACTGAGGTGTAGCTCCTAGATTTCTGAAACAAGTTGTTTCATAAAGTGTCATTTAGGCAACTAAAGTGATTACCCTCAGAAAAGGTCAATGCCAAACAACAAACAAACAGGTTCCCTTAGACAATGCAGTCACATGACTCCTTTCTGTTTGGAATCTGTGCCCAATCAGTTGAGAAGATTTGTAAAGGAATATCCTTACCCGGATTATTTCTTCCACACAAATGTTGGTTTCTCCAGATCTACTCTCCTGAAAGCAAAGGAAAAACAAAACAAAACAAATTAAGCCTGACAGTCTAGATCTGTGGTTACAAAGAAAAGATGACACATAGGCTTCCAAAGTAAATAAAGCTTGGATTGGGGAAATGCCTAAACTGGGACATACTGATAAGATTCTTTCCTTAATCGGATAGCTCCCACCACAGTATGACCACTCTCCCTCCAGGCACTGTGCACTGCAGGGACAGGCCTGCCGAGAATGCCAGACCTGCATCGAGGTCTGGAGCTCAGCCCTGGGCCACGCAACCACACTGACTCTAAGCCAGTCAGGATGTTAGGAGTATCAGTACACGACCTGCATATGACCTGCACATAAGAACTTGCTTTGCCTTGGGCTCTATCCGAGTATGAGCACATGGCCTCCACTGCAAAGTAGATCCGGTTCACCCTTCAAATACTCATAATGGCCTTGCCGAATGCAAGGGTTTTACAACTTAAGTAAAAAGTCTCATAGTTCCACTGTCCTTAAAGCCTAGATTTACTGGTTTGATGGGCCAAAACTACGAGACCAAAGGAGAAACATTCTCTCAAAATCTGCAGGTCACACTGGGTGTCACACTTCGGAGCCCCCTGTTCCACAATCCTCACTGCCCTGTGCTCTGGAGATGTTAAGGGCTCTGAGGAATGGTAGCTTCAGGTACAGATGACTCTGGCGAATGTTTTAAGCTCCAGAGATGTGTGGTAACTACTGGTGACACAGCCCAGAAAGCAGGAAATGGTTTTGTGGAGACATGAAAGCAGCACTTCTATACAGTAGGCAGACGTGCCTCCTGTCCTACTGTGGTTTCAGGGAGATACAGTTCTCTTGGCCTTTTAATTCAATGATACTGACCACAACTCAGCATGACATCCTAAGCTTTCCTCACCCTGAATAGAGACCCCATGCCCATTAAGCAGGAACTCCCTTTTCCTCAGCTGCTAGTAACCATTAATATACTTTTTCTCACTATGAACTTTTTTTATTCTGAACACTTCATGTAAACAGAATCATACAATATGTGGCCTTTATGTCAGCTGGTATTACTTAGGATAATGCTTTCAAAGTTCATCCATGTTGTACAATGCCGCAGTACTTCAATCCTTTTGGTGGCTGAATAATATTCCATCATATGGGTATATCACGCTTTGTTTATCTGTTCATCAGCTGATGGACATTTTGGTTGTTTCCACTTTGACTAATGTGATAGCACTTCTACAAACATTTGTGTGCAACTATGAACATTCACTTAAACACTTGTTTTCAATTCTTCTGGGTATATAACTAGAAACTGAATTGGTGGGTCATATGGCAATTCCATGCTTTGCTTTTTAAGGAACTGCCAAAATGCTTTCCACATTGGCTGTACCAACCATTTCAGACCTCCACAAGCAATGTATGAAGGTTCTAATTTCCCCACATCCTCATCAACACTTATTTTTCAGGTTTGTTTCTGACAGTAGCCATCCTAGTGGCTGTGAAGTGGCATCTCACTGTGGTTTTGACCTGTATTTTCCTAATGACTGATGATGTTGAGCATCTCTTCAGGTACATGTGGGCCATTTGCTTCTTCTTTGGAAAAATGTCCTTTGCTATTTATTAAATTGGGTTGTTTGTCTCCCTGCCCCCTCTTGGCTTCGATGTAAAAGTTCTTTATATATCCTGGATACCAAACCCTTTACCAGCTGTATGATTTGTATATGTTTTCTTCATTCTGTGGTTGTACTTTCAACTCTCTTGACAGTGTTCATAGATGTACAGAATTTTTAACTTCAATGAAGTTCACTTTACCTGTTTTTTCCCTTTGTTGTTTTGGTTTTGGTGTCATATCTAAGAAAACATTGCCAAATCCAAGGTTATGAAGATTTACCCATTTTCTTTTAAGAGATTTACAGTTTTAGTTTTTATATTTAGGTCTTTAATCCAGTAGTTTGGGAACTTTCAGGTAAAGTTTATTTCCTTATGGATTATTTTATAAGTTTTAGTTAAAACAGAAACATTATCTTTATACATATTACTCCACTCTAGTGTCCTTATTAAAAGACCAGTAACAAGCCCTGACTGGGTGGCTCAGTGGCTTGGGCATCCTCCTGCACACCAAAAGGTTGCTGGTTCAGCTCTGATCAGGGCACATGCCTGGGTGGCAGGCCAGGTCTCCAGTGGAGGGGCATGTGGGAGGCAACCGATTGATGTTTTTCTCCTCTCACTCCCTTCCCCTCTCTCTAAAAATAAATAAATGAAATCTTTTTTAAAAAGCTTGAGAACAAAATGTGTAAGGTACAGCCACTGTTGCCAGTAGTGCATGAACACAACATACATGTTTACCCTTATAAATTAAGAAAAACTGTGTTAAATATCATGGCATAATATTTCCTTACCCTTTCCTACACTCACCTCTCCTCCTGTTCTCCCGAGAGTTACAGTTTGGTGATATGCCACTAATGAGTCCCCACTCCCACCACCCAATGGCTTATTCCAGGACTGCTCTGGAAATTTCACTCTTTTGACACTCCAGTCAAACTGGGTCAGAGAGCTCTTTCTGGATCCTACCCCAAACCTACTTCCTTTCCAAGGCAGCCTGAGGCATCCATCACAAATGCTGCTGGTAAATTCTTTGTCAGGCCAGGGCTTGATGCCCCTTTGAAATGATCTCCTTTGGAGTTCAGTGGTGGGAATGAGTGGTCTCAACTGGAATATATTTCTGCAAACCCGTAACCGCTTCTCTTACCCTACTGCCAAGTCTCAACCCTTTCCTACCACATAACATACCAGTAGAGCAAATGCGAAATTCTCAGTGTACTTTCTATTTTCCACCTTAAAACAATTAATTAAGGAAAAGTCAACTTCATGTTCTCCTGATAGACTCACCCAGATACCAAACACACTAAAAAGATTCTTCAAATTAAACTTTGGGTTTGATTAACTAAAGCTAAATTTCTCCTGAATATCACACTTTAATTCCATTTAGAGTGATTTACAAAAACTGTTTTATATCAATTTCCACGATGCTACTCTGAAAAAGAACACACTGAGAGAGAAATGCAGTGTAGATACCCTGTTAACTACTTCCCGTATTAATGTAGATGGAGTATGTAGGATTACTACACTGGGTCATCTCAGCGGCAGCTCCAACCATGAGCTCTGATGGTCTGGAGTGACATCAGGTCATTCTGTACTAGGAGGGCCCCTGGCAAAGCTAAGGAGGTGAGGCCAGGACAGAGGACTTCTAATGACAGTCTCAGGAAATCCTGGCTTTAAATTACAGTATGGAAAATCCTTGGCAGAAGAAACTCTTGGGCCTTCTCTGGAACATTTCTGACTCCTGGGACACCTAGGGACCTAAGTAGGGTACTACATTGGGTTTGAAATCTCCAGGATGCCATCTGGATTGGAATGAATGCATGAGGCACAGTATTATAGAAAATGTGAGCTAAAAGAAAACTTAGAATTCATTTTAGGCTACTCACTGACTTTAACAGATGGATAAACTGTGGCCCAGAGAACTGGAGGGCTCTGTTCAAAATCATTCTAGCAGCAAGCAGCAGTCAGGGCAGAAGCCACACGCATTTCTTCAACACCAATTCAGTGCATGATCTACTATCTGATGCTATTTTTCTAAGCTCAACCCCTAGAACTGGTTCAATTTGAGGTCACTGTCATGCTTAAGTATGGAAATAAAAGAATGTGGATAGTATTTGGGTAAATTTCTTCCTTCCTTTTCATGTTGCAAATTCCTCAACACTCAGCTGCTTTGTCTCTTACTCACTAATCTCTGATATCAGGAGTAGAGACCAAAGCAGGAAGTGACAGGAGAGGAAGTGGAGAGAAAGGGTTAAAAGTACCATCCCTTCTGTGGCATTAACAAATGAGAGACAAGGACCTGTGTGTTCAGAAACTGGAGGACAGAAACCTGCCTCTTCTTTTCCAAATACATAAAAGGGAGCGGGTGGGGAGGGTTGTGTGGGCAGGGGGTGGGGGTAAGGGGAGACTGGAGGGCCTTTCACCTTCTCCAGGTCTTTCTCAAATCTGGCTTGAGCTACAGTTGTGTACTTTGATTATAATTACATTTTAAAATGCTCAGTGTTTATGAACAAGATTAAAACATGCATGTAATTTACATCTCCAAATTTGTGTTTACATTTTTCACAATTAAGTTACTGCTTTCCTTGGAAAGGTACCCACTGAGAAGGAGGGCTGCACAATGCAAATTTTAATTACTCAGGATTTTTTGAGGGTTTGTGGCTGTTGCTTCATGCTGAGTTGCTGAGCCGTTGCTCGTATTTATTCCGACTTTGATGAACTTACTCCATTCTGCTATCATTACATTTTGAAATCTGTCATAACAGTCTCACCTCACTGAACCTCCAACTAAACTTCAATTAAAAGCTAGCAACCCCAGCTGATTCTCCTCCACAGCTTTGTCTATCACATTCTTTTTTTCACGGAACTGCTCTCCCCAAATCCTACCACTTAAGAATGCACACCACACACTTTGCCAGGGAAATGTACTTAACGAAGTACAGCAGGTCCTCAGATGATGTCGTTCCATCCACCGTTTTGTTACAACATTGATGAGATAGATGCCAGAGACACTTAACTCTTGTTTACATCAGTCTCTGGCAAAATTTCATTATATGTCGTTCCTCTTAAAGTCACAAAACCTACCGATGACTAAGTGAGGACTTACTGTATAGCTCAAGAAATAGCCAGGAGCACTCTGTCACTGAGAGCAGAAGTCCCTAATTACCATGCCAAGCACAGAGCCCTGGAAAAGACAAGCAAGGCTTAAGGAGAAAATACTTGATCAAATCAGTGGGAAATGGAAGTAAAGCTGCATGGGTCTTATTTTTAAAAACAGCTTAACTCTTCATCAGACATTTAATGCAGAACTTACACTCTAAAATACTATTACTTTAAAGTTGCAATGCCTTTGTCTGAAAGCACTCAAAAGGCCCTCAAGCCTTTAGAAATTGTTTATTATAAGCACATTCTTA